AAAGTGGTGGTTACCAGAGGGGAGGGGCTGGAGGATGGGGGAAATAGGTGAAAGGGATTAAGAGTACACTTATCTTGATGAACACTGAGTAATGTAGAGAGTTGCTGAATCACTATATTGTACACTTGAAACTAATATGACACTGTACGTTAATTATACTGGAATTAAAATAAATAAATAAAAAATTGTGTGTCAAGGGGCACCTGGGTGTCTCAGTCACTTAAGTGTCTGACTCTCGATCTTGGCTCAGGTCATGATCTCAGGGACATGAGATCAAGCCCCACACTGGGCTCCACATTGGGCATGGAGCCTGCTTGGAATTGTCTCTTCCCCTCTCCCTCTGAACCTCACCCACTCCCAGTCACACTCTCTCTCTGAAAAAAAAAATTATGTGTCAAAATGGATAGAATTTAGGTGGTCTGATACATTGAATAAAATCTCTCAATCAAGGTAATTCCTTTCACTTCTGGCAGAAGATAGTTACAAATAATTTTTAAAAATAAAACCTAGTAGGTGCAAGTAAACACTGATGTTGATTTTAGAGCATGATGAAGTTGACAGGTATTAAGTTAGGGTCTATGAATTTGTCACCATCTGCATATAAATAGTATCACCAGATTGCTTAATGTGGAATTTTAACTATAACTCATTTGACTTTCACAGATGAAAGTAAGTAGAATTTTATATTCCTGTATAGATTCATATCTGGCCAAAAAAAAAAGGTTTCATTTAAATTGAATAAGACTTTGTAGCAAAGAAGAAATTAGGTGTTGTACAGTATATGTTTTTATTTGGCTTTCATTCTTAACGATAAATATCTTTGCCAGAAAACTTTTATGTGTCAGAAGGAATTTTTGTGTTAATTGTGATATATTATTATACTTCTTTTTTCTTTTTTTTTTTAAAGATTTTATTTACTTATTTGAGAGAGAGAATGAGATAGAGCATGAGAGGGGGGAGGGTCAGAGGGAGAAGCAGCCTCCCTGCTGAGCAGGGAGCCCGATGCGGGACTCGATCCCGGGACTCCAGGACCATGACCTGAGCCGAGGGCAGTCACTTAACCAACTGAGCCACCCAGGCGCCCTACACTTATTTTTTCAAGAAAACTTTGTAAGTTCATGTGGCATCAAAATTATTTTGAAGTCCAACATGTTCATCCCATTCTCTCCAGGCCTACAATGTTTCTGCCAAGAAATCCACAAATACCTTTCCAGGAGTTCCCCGGAATGTGAGGGATTTTTTTCTTTTCCTGTCTTCTTGAAAATTACTGTTATTTTGTATTTTCTACATAGTTTATCAGTGTTATTACAGGAGCACTGGGAGCTATAAGTCTCCCCTGAGACTTTTATTTTAGTAACCTCTACTCAAACTCATGACCCCAAGATCAAGAGTTGCATGCTCTTCTGACTGAGCCAGCCAGGCACCCTCTCTTGCTGTTTTAAAAATACTCTGTTTCTTTGATTTTAGATAGCTTTATTATAACGTGTCTTAGAGAAGATCTTTTTAGGTTGATAATTTTGGGGGAACCTATAAGCTTCATGAATGGGGATGTCCAAATCTTTCTCCATATTTGGAGATTTCTTAGTCATTATTTCTTTAAGTTAGTTTTCTGTCCCCTTTTCCCTCTTTTTTCCTTCTGGGACTCCAGTAATGCGTAGATTGTTTCTGTTCATGGTATCACACAATTCATGTAAGGTTCCTTCATTCTTTTTCATTCTTTTTTCTTTTTGCTCTTCTGACCAGATAATTTCAAATGACATATCTTTAAGTTCACTGATTCCTTCTTGTGCTTGGTTGAATCTGCTGTTGGAGCTCTCTGTTGAATTTCTCATTTCAGTGTATTCAACTCTAGGATTTCTGTTTGATTTTTATCATGGTTTCTATTTCTTTGTTAAACTTCTCATTTTGTTCATATGTTATTTTCCTAATTTTGTTTGTCTATCTGTGTTATGTTCACTAAATTTCTTTAAGAAGATTATTCTGAATACTTTGTCAAGTGGTTCATAGATCTCTATTTTTGTAGGGCCTTTTATTGATCTTTGTTAGTTTCCTCTGGTTGTGTCATGTTTTCTTGATTATTTATGATCCTTGTGGACTTCTGTTGGTGTCTGTACATCTAAAAAAGCAGTCTTTACAGAATGGCTTCAACAGGGAAACCCTTTACTAGTCGGCCTGTCCAGAGATTCTGGGTGGGCCAGCTAGTGGTGACCATGAGCAGGCTTGATGCTGGAGTCCTCAGGTGGGCAAATCTGCTGACTGGGTCCACTGGAGTGGGCCTGGTGCTTGAGTCTATGTGGGTGGGCCTTGGATCCTGGGTCCTTTGGGATGGATGAGGTACCAGGCACTGTTAAGGTGGTGGGCCTAACACCTTAGTCCATGAGAGCCACCCTGGCTCTCGTGTTGGCTGGGAGCCTGTATCCATGGGACCCAGCCTGGAACCTGAGTCAGCTGGAGGGTTGCCTGGAGCTAGGGTGATCCTGGAGCCTGGGCCCATGGAAGCTGGCCTAGAGGCTGGTGTCACAGTGACCAGCCTGGTTACATTTCTTAAATCATTCCGGAGACTTTGAATGTTTGAAATGGTTAGATCTAGGAGGAATCTGAGGCCTCATCTGGCCAATCCCTTCATTTTAAAGATAAGGAACTACAGTATAGAAAATAAATGTCTAATCCAAGTCACTTGGAAAAATGATAGAACTGATGTCTCTTGCTCCTATTCCAGTGCTCTTTGATTTATACTACTCTGTCCCAGCAAGTAATATTATTTTAAGAGGTAAGTTTTGTAATTAAGTTATCTCTGAAACTCATGATCTTCAGCCCCAGTAAATGATCCTTTTGTGGCATGAGTCAAGTTTCCCTGATCTCTTAACCCATTTGGAATGACGCATGTGAGCCTAATCATATTTTCCGTTCCCTCCCTGCACTTGGCAATTAAACTACTATATTCTTTCTAATTGTTTACATTAGCATTCCATTGCTCTTGGAATCTTTAGGCTTGTATATATGCTTTTCAAACTTTTGTTCGTTTTGTTTGATGACTAATATTCTTTCTGTTACAATTTCTTTTGTTGGCTACATAATTTTATTTACCAGTGTATCACATGTTTATAAATTTATGTATCCATAACATTAATTATTAAAGTAACTTGAAAATGGATCTAGCAGGGACCATGGCCATTATGAATCTACACTGTCTAACTAACTGAGATAATCACAATCCTGTTTCCGGTTCCATTATTTGGGACCCTGTTCTGACCTCCTTTAGATAAGAGAGTCATAAAGTCTGTCCTTTATCTTTACCTTTGAGAATCTTGTCCTTCTTTGGTAATATTCTTCAAGAGTTTTCTTTAACTCCCCTTTACTGAAAATGACCAATAATGATATAATTCCTACATGTTTTCAAGGAAGAAGCATGGAGTAATATTGGATAACTATTTGGGAAGAATTTAGTCAAGAGAAGTATAGAATTTGGGAGGCTAGCTTTATCACAGCCTGTATGAGATTAAATGTCTTGGACATAATCGTGTGCCTGGGGAAAAGGGAAAGAAACAGTAGTTCTCTTAGTTTCTTTGGAGTTCTCTATGGAAAGCTTATCCTTCCACACTGGCACTACTACCATTTGGTTAGAAAATTGAAAAGCAGAAGAATCATCCATGTTTTCACAGATACTCTCTGTGCAAAATGACAGGCCATCACTAAGCCTTGTATTTCCAGATGTCAAATGATACAAAATTCATAGAAGAGAATTTTCTAAAATAGAAGGAATCACCATAGGTGATTAATTTTAGAAATCACAGCACTTGGAATTTTCATGCTGAAGACAATGCTGGTTATAGTTACAGGTTATAGTTACAATAATTGTGGCCGATAAATGAATCCCTGTGGGTGCAGGAGTTCTGATCTAATGAAGATGAGACCTTTCAGCAATCACTGTAATACAGTCTAGCACAATACAGGGCTATCTACAGTATTGAGAGGAAAGTAAGTTTACCATAGGCCCATGTTATACAGAAATACATGGATTTTGTTAGCATAAAACATAAATAGGCATAGATGGGAAAAAAATATTCTAACTGTTAGAATCTGTAATTGCTCAAGTCGCAGAATATTTTACTAAGGAGATGAAGAACTGACCCATCTGGCTAGAGCAGTGGGTTTGTTTAGAAGGCGGTAGAAGACAGAGTTCAGGCATACTTTAGAGAGCTCGCAGGAGGCATCCTGCGTACGTACCAACCATGGTACATACACTGCATTACTGAGAAGGAACCGTTCTGAGGCTGATCCCCTAAATGGATGTACAGATGCAGATAGTCTATTCAATTTGAATATGCAAATTAGAGCAGATACTTAGATTTCCGTGAGGGGTGAAGTTCTAACATGTAATGATTAAATTTTTAAAATTTGGTACATCATTTCAGGAGCTCCAGGCCAAGCATTTATTCACGGATGATTTTTTATTTATTTATTTATTTATTTATTTTCAAAGTTTGTGTTACTTAACTAACTTCTTATCACAAAAAAATTTTCACGACCATTAGCTCTGGCATCTGAATTCCTGCTGCTCTCTTGGGATCCATATGGTTATCAGACCAGAGTTTAAAGAGGAGAGCTTAACTTCTGTAGTCCTTTCATATGAGAAGTGCATTTACCTTGCTGTATGTTTTATTTTGAGCAAGCCAGGACTTTCTCGATTACAGCTAATCTGTTTTTTCCTTTGGTTGAATCAAGTTTGTGGTCAGGTTTTAACCCTCAAACTTTCCTTTAGATCTCTTTTTATTAATACTCGTAATCAGAATTCTGCAAAAATAGTTCATGTGTGTGCTAATAGAGGCAGTCAGATGACAGCACAGTTTAATGAGGACAAAAACCTGTGGTTCTGGGCTTTTTCCCCGCCGTATGATTAGCTTTATTTGCAAATTTTATGGTTAACAGACAATTATTTTAAGGTATTCCACCATGATGATACTTTATCCTAACGTAGGCATTTTATTTACTTCTTAAAGGACTTTGTTCAGGAGATGCTACACCTTTGATGCGAGAAAATACACTAAGTGCGTCCACACATGCTGTGAGTGATGAAGAGTCCGCAGAAGTAAACGCTAATGATCAACCCGAGGCCCCAAAGCGAGTTCTTCAGTATCTGTTCTCACTTATACGAGGGGAAGTTGAGCAGTTGGATTCCAGAGCACTCCCCCTCTGCCTTCACCAGGTACTCCAGCAAACCCTTCACGTCCTGCCTCCCTACAGTTCTGGGACCGGGGTTTGTAATCATTGGAAATACAATTCTCTGTAATTGATTCTCCCCAGCCTGCCATTGGGAAGCCCAGGAGGTCACCCTGGGTTAGTGGCTGGTGGGAAGTTTAGCATATGACTATTGGTGGCCACACATCAGCCTTGAATAATCCATTTGTAGTTCAGACAATCACTGACTTCCTTTATGTAGTGAATAAGCTGTGTACGAGTAAGAGTCAATGTAGCAAGTGCTTAGTAAGTACCACCGAGATGTCAAAAACTCTGCTAGACGCTGCGGAAACAAAAATTACTTAACAGAGTATGTCCTTAAGAGAGCCACTGTGGAAAAAGAGAAGCACTTCTAGAGATAAATAATGGAAGAAGTCTGTACTAAGGGTAGACAGATATTTAAGGTTCAGCAAAAGCACAAAATGTGTGATTAACTTTGTTCTGTGAGCATCAGGGGAAAAGAAGGTGACTCTTGAGCTGGGTTTTGCGGGGTATGTAGGCGCTCACTAGATGAACAGAGTGAGCTGGTGCGGGAAGAGATTTCAGCCCCCACAAAGGCATGGCTGAGATGGTGTTGGAGATTAAGATAGAGAAGAGGTAGGAATTGACATTGGGTGATCACGGCCTTCCTCATAGGGACTGGGAATTTTTAATGGTGGGAGTACCAAATCGAATGTGAATTTTAGAAAAATAACTCTGCTGAAGACTGGGAGGGTAAATTAGGAGATGGAGAGCCTGGACACTGGGAGGCCTTCTGGACAATGGTGAGGAAGCTTTTTTACACAAGAGCTAATTCGGAAAAATAAGATATGTATGAACTGCATTTAATTTTTCCTTTAAAATGAAAATAATGAAATAATGGGAGAAACTGAGACTCCGTCACCAAGCAAGTTCCTTACAGTCCTGGGGCCAGAGTTTGTTTATTCCATTCAGTGCATCTGTTTTTGGAACATTGTGACAGAAATTTGAATATAGGCTGTACATTAAATAATATTATTGCCCTAATTCCTTGAGACTGGTAATAGAATTATAGGTTTTATAGGACAGTATCCTTGTTCTTGAGAGATACATCCACACATATTTGGGAGTGGAGTGACTGTTGTTATGATATTTTCACTTATCATTACTTAGGATACTTCAGTAGGAAAAAGTACAGAGGAGAGGAAAAGACCAAAAGAGAAAGCAAATTTGACAAAATGTCAACAATTGACAGATCTAGGTGAAAGGTAAATGGCTGTTGATTTTACTCTTCTTTGAACTCTTCTGTAGAATTTCGATAAAAAGTTGAGGAAAAGGACATTTGGAGTAAAGATGGAAATAGCAAATATAGTCAAATCTTTTCAAGGAATTTATGTCACTGGGCTGTTGCGTGAAAGGTAAGAAGAATGCTCTTTTCTGCTGATGTACAATCCTACAGCCGAAGCAGTTCTAGTAGATCTGGATCAGGCCTGAAGATGATTTAAATTTTTTTAAGTTTATTTATTTATTTTTATTTTTTGTAACCTCTACATCCCACGTGGGGCTTGAACTCACGACCCCGAGATCAAGAGTCGCATGTTCTTCCTTATTTAATTTTTTTATGTCTCAAAGTAAAATTCTCCCCACCCTCCCCACCCCTCAGGAACATATCAGAATTGCTGAGTCCCGTAGGTCGTGCTTCTTAAATATCTCAGCAATCTGTCCTCCCTTGACAGAGGGGCTTAGACAGCATGATGGTGGTTTAAAAGCATGGCTTTGGGACCTACTGCTAACAATCTAAGTGACTTTCAGTTTGTTCTATAATGTGGAGGACCAAATGGAATAATGCATATAAAACACTTAACATAGTGCTTGGTACACAGTAACAGCCAAATTAATAGTAAGCATTATGACTGCACCCTCACTGTCACTAATTCAAGGATTGCAAGTAATTCTCAGGTGTTCTATGGCATCACCCCTAAATACATGGCCATGTGTTTCCCAACATTGTGGATACCCCCCGACACTTCCTGCAAAGCCGGTATCAACTGCAGAAAATGAGATGCTGGTATCAGAGTATTATTCCACAGACAGCCTGTAGTTACGTTTCCCTCACGTTGTTCCAAAAACATAACTAGTTTTCCCTTAATCCAGGATCCCTTGAAGGAGCACATATTGCATTCTGTCATCAGGATTCTTTAGTCTTCTGTAACCCGAAACAGCCCCTGCCTTTTGTTGTTGTGGTGGTGGTTTTTAACTTACATGGACACTTATGAAGAGCCCAAGAATTCTTGTAGAATGCCCCATAATTAGGATTTGTCTGGTTGTTCCTTCATGATTTGATTCAGTCTAAAACATTCTGGACAAGGATTCTGCTTTGGTAACATTATACCAGATTTTCTCTTGAACCCACTCCAGTCTGGCTTTTGTCCTCACACTCCACCAAAATTACACTCTGAAGGGTCCTAAGTGGCCTCTGTGTCGCATGTTTGTGCAAATCCATTGGTCAGTCTGTGCTCAGTTTTCATCCTGCTGGGGGTGTGAGAAGCTTTGACAAGTTGAGCACATAGTCCATTTTGAAGCACTTTCTTTATCTGCCTTTGGGACCCTCCCTTCTTGGCATTCACACCTTGCCTCACTAGCCCTGCTTTTTCTGGCCCGTTTGCTGAATCCTCCATGTTTCACTGATTTTTGTTTAATATTTTAAAAATTTATTTGAGAGAGAGAGAGCATGAGCAGGGGGAGCGGCAGAGGGAGAGGGAGAAGCAGGCTCCCTGCTGAGTAGGAGCCCCGTGTGGGACTCGATCCCAGGACCCTGAGATCATGACCTGAGCCGAAGGCAGATGCTTAGCTGACTGAACCACCCAGGCGCTCCATAAATTTTACTAATCTTTACACATTGGAGCTCTTCAGTATGCAATTCTGAACTCCAGGCTTCAATACCCAGCCTCCTGAGGTGTCTAAAAAGTACTTCAAACTTAAGATATCCAAAATCAAACTTTGCTTTTTTTCCCAAATCTTCTGCTTCCCTAGTCTTCCCACTTTTGTTAAATGGCAGCTCCATTGCTTTAGGTGCTGAGACCAAATGCTTTGAAGTCATCTTTTATTTCCTTCCTCCTCACATCCAGTTCCAGTGAGTATGTGCTGCAGATCTACTCCCACACACACCCAGAATCTGACCCCTTTTTACCTCCTTCATTGCCTCCACCCCAGTGCAGGACTCAGACCTCACCTGGATTCTTGCAGTGAACTCCTCACTTTAGAAACCCTCCTGACTCTCCCTCTCCCTTTTCGTCTTTGTCCTCTACACAGCAGTCATCATGACCCAGAGAAAGTGTAAGTCAGATCCTGTCAGTCCTCTACTCAGAGCCCTCTGGTGGCATCTCTTGTTATTCAGGGTTAAAGCTAAAATCCTTACAGGGCCTACGAGACCCTGCACTATCCATGCTGTTACCTCCTAGACCTTAATTCTGAAAATGCTCACTCTTAGTCACTGCTTCCCAGGTCCACTTGCCTCTTGGCAGTTCCTCAGATAATACAAGCATGCTCCTACTTCAAGACCTTTGCTTCTCCTTTCTACCCTTTCAAAGCCACTAGAGGCTGCACCAAAACAGAGGGGTAAACCCAGGAGCAGGAGGGTGTGAGATGTCAGAAATTGGGATGCTACCCAGGAGAGGGGTGAAGGGACTCTGTAGGTGCAGGAATGTTCTAAGATGACAGCTCTGTACAAGGAGAGAGTCTCCAGTTCTGTTTGGAGCAGATCAGAGTAGTCTGGGGAGAAACTTCTATATCCTTTTCCTATTTCTGAGTATTTACTATCTCTGAATGTACTGAGGGAAGATTTATTGGTGGCGAGCTTGGAGTTGTATAAGTGACAAGTGCATGGAAAACGATGCCCCCCCCAAAAAAAAGTGGGGGAAAAGAAAAGGAAAAAGTAACTCCAGGGAAAACAAAAGGTTTTCAGGAAAGGAAAATTAATGAGTTTACTATCTGGCTTGGCTTACAGTAAGGCACACATTAAATGCTATCTATCCATTGCTACAATATAACCATATGGGGTAGGTGAGTGTGGGAGAGTGTCTGTGTGCTGTGTGTTGGCAGGGTTGGGGCCGGGGGAGCAAAAGTCTCAGTCCTCATCTTCTAAAAAACCTAAAAATCCAGAAATGGCCAAAATAGGTGTAATGTTTAGGGATACAGAGGTTAAAAGAAAAAGAAACCGCAAGATCTCTGAGTGCTTGCTCCCGAAGAACAGAGAAAAGGCAAAGAGGGCAGGGCTTTGTGAACACATATCATAGGACTGTTGGACTCCTTAAACCACATACTTGCACAGTTTTAATGAAAATAAGAACTGAAAGGAGATATTGGTAATCCAAGCATGAGGTGAGAAAAGCATGCTGGTTACGGCGGTGGTGGGGGCTCCAGAGAGGGATGGACTGCAGTCCCCTTGAAGGAAGAATCCCTAAGACTTGGAGTGGATGGGAAAGCGGAGGAGGGAAGTCTGAGATGGCCAGGAGATCCAGGCTGGGCGAGTGGCATTACATGAACAGAAATGAGGAATTGGAGAGGGGAAGTCCCTTGGGAACAGTTGTTAGTTTTGAGGTGGTAGTCCATCAGAACATGTGCTAAAGGCTGTTGGCAACATAATTGCAGTTACATCAGATATGTACTTGTATTTTCAGCTCCTGAAACTCTTCAAGATTCCATTTAAAAATGCTTGTTCTGGTATGAGTAATCTTTCACACACTTAGTTAATACGACTGCAGGTTAGCTCTAAGTATATAACTGAAGTCATAAACTTGGAAGCTTTTCATATAGAAGTGGGAAGAAAAACATCAAGTGTGGTGCTCTGTGCTCAGTGAGTTTGTACTGAAACTGGTGTCAGACTTGGGCAGGAAATGGATCCACTGGGATCCTTGAAACCAGTCTCCGTGACTATGGTCAAAAAATAATACATACCTTTCTACTTCCCTTTTCTGGTTCCTGGTAGGTAAAAGAAGCCTAGAACCAGAATAACCCAAGAACTTGAAATCTTAACACTGTTGCCCTCCCAGAGTGATTTTCAGCTTACTTCTTCACATGATTCTACTCTGCGTCTTGTCTTTGAAGTTCAGACTCAGACTCAAAAACCATTTTCAGCAGTTATTGCTATGTGCTGCCCCCCATGATAGATATGCACTCCCTCACTTAATCCTGACAGCAGCCTAGCAGCCTTGTCTTGCAGAGTCCTAGGTATTACTGTCCCTGTTGTGCAGATAGGAAGCTGAGGCTTGAGACGTAGAATGACATGTCCAAGGTCACATGGCTAGCAGTGGCAAAGTTTGGACCAGAATGCAGTCCTGTTATTCACTTCCACACCTTGAGTTCTTTCTGCTCTATCAGGCTACTTCCCAGATTTAGACATATGGGACATCAAAGAAAACCACATCTGCTCTTGCCAGGGGTGGGTTTCTACAGGGGAGATGGCTTGTGTATTTATTTTCTCCACCTGCCCTTTCACCTGAAAATGCCACTGGGTCTCGTGACCCTACCTTTATAGTTGCTTTTATGGTATTGGAACCATCACAGAAATCTAAAAGCTAATTGAACTGTGTATTTCTGTAGTGTCAGAAAGTCTGGTTTATAAGAGTATGAAGCTTTTTTTTTTTTTTTTTTTAGATTTTATTTATTTATTTGAGAGAGAGAATGAGAGAGAGCACGAGAGGGAAGAGGGTCAGAGGGAGAAGCAGACTCCCCGCTGAGCAGGGAGCCCGATGCGGGACTCGATCCCGGGACTCCAGGATCATGACCTGAGCCGAAGGCAGCTGCCCAACCAACCGAGCCACCCAGGCGCCCTAAGAATATGAAGCTTTTTATAAATGACTGTGCTAATGGTGCACAAATGCAAAAAGGCGCAAGAATGGCTTTGAAGAGCCAGAAATTTAATCTTAGGAGTGATGTATTTTGATCTATATTCAATGTGATGTATAGTAGAGAAATTCAATGCCATGCCATAGGTTTTCGCTAGAAGTTGATAAATGAAACGCTAGTGATTTCTGTTAGGTGTAACCCAGTGGTGTGCTGGAGCTCGCCACCATTAGCTCATGAGAACCATATTTAGTGGTGTCCATCATGTCGGTAGCTTGAGGTTGGTTATGATGGAAGCATTGACAACACAGAAATGAGCGAACACTACAAGTCAGGCCTCTCCCCAGTACTCGAGAACTGGGTGTCAGGGGTGGGTCAACACACTACTGGTCGTAGTATATGGAATTCTTGTTTTGTAAGTAAAACAGTAGTTAAATATTGACAGTTTGATTTGGTTCCAGTTAGTATTGTCATACTGTTAGGTGGATGAGCTGATAAAAGACAAGCAGAATCTTGAAAATCAGTTTATCCTTTGCAAAGTCCTCAGAATAGAAAGTAAGTATGGACTCAAGCTTTAGGTTAAACTAAAACTTTACGAAGAGGTGATTGAGTCCAGTTGTATATATTGCTTGTAGAAAAATGTTAGAGTTATAATATAAATTTTAAGCTAGGCAAATATTTTCCTTTAAAAGCATGCTGTTTCCACTGTGGGATTTGGGAAAAACCGTTCCCTTTTTTTTTTAAATTTAAATTCAATTAATTAACATATACTGTATTATACTGTATTATTAGTTTCAGAAGTAGGTTCAGTGAGTCATCGGTTGTATAAAACACCCAGTGCTCATTCCATCCCATGCCCTCCTTAATGCCCATCACCTCATCCCCCAACCCCCTCCAGCAACCCTCAGTTTTTTTCCTCTGATTGAGTCTTTTATGAAAAAACATTCCTTTTTGTTGCTAGATTATAGGTTTGACAAGTACAGTATTGCTCTTCGCATTGGCAGCTAGATGGAAAATGGAGGTAGAGATCTATAGATAGAACACCTTTCTTACTAGAGACTTAGTAAGAATGAAACTGTTTTAAAAGTGTGAAGTATTTATATGAAATATTCTAAATATGACAACAGTCAGTTCATGCAAGTATTTCTCAATGAATACTTTCAGTTTTATGGTGGTTCTATTTATACATGCTATATCCAAATAAAGATATAAGTAAAAGATCCCAAAATGTTCAGAATCAAAGAATTTTTCAATTTAAATATGCCTTAGAATGAATCCGGTAACTGATAAGCCTCAACTGGGACCAGATCCTAAATCTCTGGACCACCCCCATCCAGTGCCCTTTATCCTGTGCAGCACTTTGTATGTATTCCAAGTATCATTGCTCAACTCTTAGCACTTGGCCCTGCGTTTTCTCAAATATCGAAAGAGAACCAAAAGTCAGTGTCCCATGAGGTACTTGGTAAAATGTGAATGAGTCTCATGTGACTTGACACATTTTAACTTTTTGATTTACAATAAGGAGTAATTCTTTCACCTGTGTTACACTGTTATAAGCCCTCATAGTATTTTCCTCATTCTCTAGAGTTCTTACTTCTAAACTCTAATGAATCAGTGAAGTTGGCTTTGATTTAGAATAGAATAGAGGGGTTGTTATAAAACCAAAGAATGTCTCGGTTTGCTTTGCTTGCGATCAGTGACTTCAGAAATGTGTCCTGGACCTAGAGTCAGATTTCTTCTCAACTGGTGAGTGTAGTTCAGAGTTTTCTTAGTCTGATATCAAAGACTTAGCGTCCAGGTCTTGATTTGTTCCAAATTTGCCTTTTCATCCAAATGTTAATCTAATGTCCTGGTTTTTGTTTGTTTGTTTGTTTGTTTGTTTTTTAACAGATAGCAGAGTCCTATTTCCAGGAGGAGGACTGTATCCTTTTCTTAATTACAGGAAGAAATTCATAAGTTCTCTACTGCCCATTTTTTAAAGTTGAGATTTACATACAATAAAAATATATACAGATATATATATATATATATATATATCTGTATCTGTTGTTTTCGATGGGTTTTAACAGCTGTGTGCACCCATGTAACCACCTCAGAAAGCAAGGTGTAGACAGTTTCTGCCACCCCAGAAAATTCTCTAGAACCACCCAAATTTGGCCTTCCATGAAGAAGCCCCAATTTTACCACAATCTAAATATTTGTATGTTTAGGAGGGCAGAAAAATCACATTGTTGAAAAACATAATTTAAAAATCCATTGGGTTTTCTTTCTTTTGAATTAAAACAGAAGTACAAGTCAAATGATATTCATATAGTAGAGCCTGGGGAGCATATTACACATAGTAAATCTCATGACCGTCTTATTCTAGCTTTCAGCTGCAAAAGTAAGACTGAATTCTTCTCTCATAATAAACAGAACAAATGCTGTCAAGTGAAACTGCATATTAGCTTTTATTTTTTTAAAAAGATTTTATTTATTTATTTGACAGAGAGAGACACAGCAAGAGAGGGAACACAAGCAGGGGAAGTGGGAGAGGGAGAAGCAGGCTTCCCACTGAGCAGGGAGCCCGATGCGGGGCTTGATCCCAGGACCCTGGGATCATGACCTGAGCCAAAGGCAGACGTTTAACAACTGAGCCACCCAGGTGCCCCTGCATATTAGCTTTTATACAGGAAACATTTCTTCCCTCAGTGTTCCAATTGCCCTTTGTAAAAATCGCTTCTCTTTTCCAGGGATGGTTCCAATAGACTCTCTAGAAAGAATGTGCCCTAACCATCTGTTTCCCCATTTGTGTGATTTCGACTCTGTCCTCACCTTGTTGACTTTGTTCTACATCTCCAAGCAGATTGAGGGAAGCACAGTTTTTATCCTGAACCCTGTCAAATTGACTGTGGTAACCATCTCAGACAATGGCAGCTCATGACTAAGTATGCAGGAGATCTAATTCTGGTGGAAGGGAAGCTAGAACTCTTTTTCTAACCAAATAATGAGCACAGTGTAGTGTAGTACAGACCAGCATCCATATCCTGGGGTGGGGGGAGGGGGCACTTCATAGTGTGCACACCCGTGGGCCTCAGAATCAGAGCTTCTAGAGATCAGACCCAGGAATGTGCATTTTTAGCAAGCTTTTCAGATAATTTTTATGTTCAGTGAAGTTTGAGAAACTTTGGTATACTTTACGTCATCGGCAGAGGAAAATGGAATTGCCCCCACTTCTCCCTGGCCTAGTTTATGATCCCCGGCATATTTTGAAGACTACAGATGAGAGAGAGAGCTGAGCATCCCAAGTGATCATGGGAAGGGCAAAAAGCTAACCAGCATTTTTTCTCTTCCCCTCTTTCTGGGTCAACATTTAGAACATGGCCCAAAGGAAGGTAGACAGTTGGACAATTGACCATGACCTCGTATGATGCTAAATGTGTGATACAGATGGAGAAGGCAGAAGTTTATAGGAAAATCTACAAAAGAGTGGAATCACATAATTACGAAAATCACTCTGGCCAGTTAATTTTTTTTTTAAAGATTTTATTTACTTATTTATTTGACAGAGAAAGACATAGTGAGAGAGGAAACACAAGCAGGAGGAGTGGGAGAGGGAGAAGCAGGCTTCCCGCTGAGCAGGTAGCCCGATGCGGGGCTCGATCCCAGGACCCTGGGATCATGACCTGAGCCGAAGGCAGACGCTTAACAACTGAGCCAACCAGGCACCCCAGTTAATTAAGTTTTTACAAAAGATCCATATAATGTTGTACTCTGTGCTTGTTTTGGCTTGCAAGCCTTTGGTCTTGTGGGAGAAAAGGATTCAGTGAGAAAAAAAGAAAAGAGTCAAGGTGAGTCGAAATCAGGAACACACACTTGACTAGAGGGTAATGTAGTTGCTTGACAGAAAGTGATTTAACGAGAAGGGGGAAAAATGGGAAACATTTAGATTCCAGGATTCCATGTGGGTCCCTGTTTCCAATTAAATTACTTCTAATTGATTCTGCTAGAGATACACTGGCAAGCAGGCATTCCTTGATCATTAAAACCCTCTTTTAGTTTCTGTTTGCTGATAGAACAGAACCCGAGTAGCTATGGCATCACATGCTACATTAAAACTTACCTACTCCAAACCAAGAAACCCTAATTTAAAAATAGAGTCCTTTCATTTTTTTTGGTAAGCTGCAAATTTCCCAGTTTCGAGAGGACATTCTTCAAATATGAGGCTAAATGTAAAGAGTATGGATTTTTATTTTCCTCAGTTTTTCTATTCAGATGAGAAAGCAATGAAATTCATTCAGCTTGAACGACTGTATCATGAGAAATTGCTCGCAAATCTCTCTGCCATTCAAGAAGAGTGGGGTAAGTACAGACTCACATAGTATGTGCAATTATCAGTAATCTAAAACGTTCCTATCTAGAAATTTAACATATTTGACCTGGTTTTGTAAGTCAGGAAATAGATGTTTCAACAGTTAAGTTAATGTTGCATAGAAGTTGCATAGAAAGTAGCAATTTTACCACCAGTCTATGTCATTGTGAGAAAATTTCTCTCTGTATCAATGCTGAGAAAAGAACACTTGCAACTGTTTGCATTTCTTCTGATCCTTTGGCATGCCCTACTGGCTAATTTAGTCTTTGGAATAATATTTACTCATACTGAAAAGTAATCACTTAGATTTTGCTAACTATGTTAACTTGGGTTGGATGAGAAGATAATTTTGCATGGGGATCTTGATTGGTGGTGCCCGTTAACTACTTTTGCTCCCCTAAATATGCTTTGTAATAGCCACTAATTAACAAATATTTTAAATTTAGAAACAAAATGGAAAACTGTACAACCACATACAGTTACATCTCTAAGGAATTCAGAAAAAGGATTTAATGGTGAAGATTTTGAACAGCTTGCTAAGTTTTGCACAACACACCAAGAGTAAGTACATCAGTATTTGTATAGAATGAGTTGAAATAGAGTATTGAAGAAGCATTGTAGCACTGAATATTTGAAATTCATGATCTATTTTTTATTTGTTAATGTTTTCAGTTGGAGAAATTAAAACAGATAAAATAAAATGATTAGCTTTTATCTGATTAGCTTTTATCATAGTTTCTGAGAACTCAGTGTAAGTTCAACTTTATGTTCATTCAAAGCACCTTCTAATTAGAAATTTTAAAATACAACTTTTAATTTTGACCTCTCTTTGGTTAAGAGATTAGGTGATGGAAATGGAAAAGAGTTGTGTATTAGGATTTTTTTATTGTAGTTGTTTGCCAGTGTTCGTATGTTGTAGTGAAAACACATCTGTAAGATTTGTCTAACAGTGGGAAGCAGAAACAGTACAATATTTAACCAAAATACTGCAGAAGTAAAGCTACATTTACCAGATAGTTTTTTTTACATTTACCAGATAATTTTAAATTGCTTGATTTGTATCAAAGATTGGGATTTTTAAAACTAAATCATAGTAATAATAAAGCACTTAAATATATTTTTTGAATTCATTATTCTAAGATTCAGAATTCTGAAGGTGAGGGAAAATTACAGTGCTTAAACTAGTGATATTTAAACTATAGATTTCTATATCGAATCTTTGATACAGACGCTTCAAGATTCCATCCTGTGGATAACTTTTTCTCCTTTTCCACCAGAATCACAAAGAGTAAACTAAAACTCTACTTGTCAGTAATGAAACAGGCCCACGTAGTAGACAGTTTCTTTCGGGTCTGATTATTTTGGAGACCAGCCTTTGAAGAATCTTTGTAGATTCAGAAATGATGGTCATTCAGCTCTCATGATGGCAGTTTTCTGCTTTTGATTTGAACCTTGGAAACTGTTTTTAGGGACTCTGCATTATAACCTAATTTATTAGCATGTTAAATAGATTAACTTTCAATTTCATAGAGTCTTAAAATAATGGAATCTTTTACGATAGATAAAGGAGATTGTGTTCTTTCAAAATACTCAGTACAGACACTTTCTCTGCCTTTCCCATGGAATTAATCATTTTTTAATGTGTTGCAGATGTTTTAATTATTTGAAAACAAATATTTATTTAATATAATATTGGCATGGCATTTTTATGCTTCAAATTTGGATAATCCCCCCAAAAATTATTACTCCTAAATTTTTTTAAGATTTTATTTATTTATTTGAGAGAGAGAATGAGATAGAGCATGAGAGGGGGGAGGGTCAAAGGGAGAAGCAGACTCCCTGCTGAGCAGGGAGCCAGATGTGGGACCCGATCCCGGGACTCCAGGATCATGACCTGAGCTGAAGGCAGTCGCTTAACCAACTGAGCCACCCAGGCACCCATACTCCTAAATTTTTTTACTATAAAAAATAATTTTTAATTCTTACATACATTAAAGTGCAGAAGCTCAGTGAAGGTTTTATATACACATATATGTCTATGTAACTACAACTCTGACCAAGACACAGAACAGTCCAGCCCCTCAGAATGCTCCCTCATGCATGTGCCAAGTCAGCACCCACCCCCCAAAATAACCACTAAGTTCTATAACAGTATATTTGCCTATTCTGTAATTCTTATAAACCTAATCATACAAAATGGAGATTTCTGCATTAACTGCTTTTGCCCATCATTATGCTATGTCTGTGTTACATGTTGTTGCATGTAATGGTAATTTGCTCAGTTTTATTTCTGTGGATTCACTGTAGGACTGTGTAGCAATTTACTTGTCCATGATATTGTTAATAGACATTCAGATTGTTTCTGGTTTTTGAGTATTATGAATAAAATAGCTGTAAATATTTTTGTGCATACCTTTTCTGTGGACATTCAATTTGATATTCCCTAAAACATATAATATTTAAAAATTCTCCTTTTTGTTACCTGTTTCCATGGATAATGCCAATAAAATTATCTTCCATCATAACTATTTCAGACTATAAAGACATAAACTGAAATTTTAAAAATATGTGTGTGAAATACTCTTTACATTATTAGCAAAATGTTAACTTTTTTTTTTCTGGGTCTCAGCATTTACAGCTTCTTTGGGTGTTTTCAGTAGTAATTGGCTAGCTGAGGAGCTAACACATGAGAGAGCTGCCCTTTGAACTGTGTGAACCAGTGGTAATGTTTCAGCACTGGAAATGTTCTGTGCTAATATTAGAATCCAGAGAAGCTATATTTTATTTTTACAGCCATTTCAGTGACATTTGTTTGGAAGAATATAGCTGCTGTAATTTTTTTTAAATCTTTTTTTTCTCTTTTTTTCTACAGTCCTCTTTTATCCAAACATAAGGTAAGAGACTGTCTCCTTGGAAATATTTTTGGGAAAAAATGTTAAGGGTCATATTTCTGTTGTATGGACTGTTTTAGGAAATAATGAAACCTTTCTCAAAGTATTTTCAGTTTTCTAATTTAACACAAGTTTCCCCCAAAGTGGTTTTGTTTTGTTTTAACTTTTTAGGTAGAAGCTGTAGAAAAGCCTCTGGGAAGGAAATGTTTTACGCAGTTAATAGTTTCTGAGGACCTGAGGGAAGGAGGAGCCACAGCCGAAGAGCCGGGTATGTTTTTACCTTAGAGAAGGACATAAAGAGACGTCTGCCTCTTAAATTTTACAAGTGTTACAAGGACTATTTTTGCACTTACATTTTTTTTGCATATACCTTTCCGACCAGGCAAATTGCAAAGTGCGATTCTTTTTATATTATGTTAACCCTATTTTTAGAAAACTAGTAGTAGGAATTATAACATCTAAATTCTTATAAAAACATAAAGTTATTTCCGTGTTTTCAATAGATAGTTATATCTAACAGAATATGAAAAAATTGTACAAAAATGCTCTGAAACAGAGTTGGTTTTGGTGTATGTTCAGATACCCTTTTCTGTTTAAAAACCAACAATTATTGTATGGACTTTCCCAGAAATTTGTGCTGTAAATCTAGATATTTAAGAGCTCTGTTTCTTGGTAATTGATCTATGGCAATTTATTCTCCTCCCCTTTTTTGTTAACTGACTTATGGTGTACTTTAATTTGCATGTATACATTTCTAAAGCATTTATGATACATTTTATACCACTTCTGTCTTATGCCAAAAGATCAAAGATTTTTAGAAACTCTTTTTTACAGTACTAATGTATGTTCATTATAAAAACTTTAGAAAATAAAGTTAAATAAATACATTTCAGGGTGTTTGTTTTTCCTGATATATGATTTTAGTACTGATTTATGTCCTAAGGCTTCATATCCCTGGGCCTGACAGCCCTGATAGTAAACACGCACCATCAGGTGTTTTGCGTGAATTGCCCGAAGAGATACAATGATGGTGATGATGATGCCTTCAATTTAATCTGCCTTTTTCTTTTTACAAAGCACCCTCCCCTCCCCACTACATCTTTATCCCCTTTTCTTCTATGAGGCGAATTTGGGATTTTGCCTTAAGTCACTCCTACTATACTCTGTTCTTCCTGTCTCTTCTTCTCCTTTTCTTTTTTTTTTTTTAAGAAATTGGATTTTTCTCCAAATAAAATTTTATTCTGTATTTTGCATTTTGAAATGCAAACTTCTTTTCCTACCTCTTATCCCTAATCTTAAAAAAAATGTCCTACAAGTAAGTTTCTGATTTTTTTTTTTTTTTTTTTAGTGTAGTCGATAGACAATGTTACATTAGTTTCAGTGCACAACATAGTGATTGGACATGTGTGTACATTATGCTGGGCTCCCCACAAGTGTAGCTGCCATCCTCATCATGCAGTGCTATTATGGTATCACTGCTTATATAGTCCCTGTGCTGTACTTTTTATTCTTTTGACTTCTTCATTCTTGTATCTCCCACCCCCCTTCACCCATTTTGCCCATCGTCCCCACTCCCTCTCCTCTCTGACAACCATCAGTTCATTCTCCGCATTTATAGGTCTGATTCTGTGTTTTGTCTGTTACTTCATTTGTTTTGTTTTTTAGATTCTACATGTGAGTGACATCCTGTGGTGGTTGTCTTTCTCAGGCTGACTTATTTTACTTGGCATAATACCTTCCAGGCCCATCCATGTTGTTGCAAAGGGCAAGATTTCATTCTTTTTTATGGCTGAGTAATATTCCTGTGTGTGTGTGTGTGTGTGTGTGTGTGTGTGTGTGTGTGTGTGTGTACCACATCTTTATTCATCTGTTGATGGACACTTGGGCTGCTTCCATATTTTGGCTATTATAAATAATGCTGCAATAAACATAGAAGTGCAGATCTTTTCAAATTAGTGTTTTTGTTTTCTTTGGGTAAATACCCAGTAGTGGAATTATTGGATAATATGGCAAATCTCGTTTTTAATTCTTTGAGAAACCTCTATACTATATACCACAGCAGCTGTCTCTTCTTTTCCAGTCCTTTTTATATTGGAAATCATAGTAAAATGAACTTTATAAAGATCTAAAGAGGGAGAAATTCACAAAATAGCCACCCAGTTTGGGTATGGCTCTGTCTTTGGGAATGGTGCTGTTATTGGCTGATTGGTTTGACCGGGAGTACTGGTTGCTGCAAGGCTCAGGCACGGCACTACTTCTAGCTTTCTAGCTTGGCCTCTGCTGTGAGGTATGTGGTACAGATGAGGAAACTGAGCTACCACATGCAAGTCACTCGCTTGTGCTTTGATTCACAACTAGAACCTGGGTCTTCTGGTTTCGAACTAAATGCAGCATTCTTCTGCTGAGTAAGTTGTATGTATATTCAAGACTTTCCCAATGCAGACATCTCACTGACAACCATCTTACGGGGAGGGTAAATTCTGGGGAGAGAAATCTTGCCAGGTCTGGTAAAACAGTATCTTTTAAAAAAGAATGTCAACTCTCGGGCGCCTGGGTGGCTCAGTTGGTTAAATGACTGCCTTCGGCTCAGGTCATGATCCTGGAGTCCCAGGATCGAGTCCCACATCCGGCTCCCTGCTCGGCAGGGAGTCTGCTTCTCCCTTTGACCCTCTTCCCTCTCGTGCTTTCTATCTCTCATTCTCTCTCTCTCTCTGAAATAAATAAATAAAATCTTAAAAAAAAAAAAAAGAATGTCAACTCTCTCAGAATTAGTTTCCTCAGATTGGTTATTTTCTGAATAGATGCATAGAAATGTAAGAATGTGAGAAAAAGAGAAATATGAAAATAATCCTTTAAAGATTGGTATTAAATATATTGTTCTTGTTTTACCTCATAGTCTTACTTTTTAACAATGTCTGACATGTAGTTCGATCTAGACTTTCCCTGTTCTTTCACTCCAAATTCCTTGGTCTTAAGCTCCTTCTATAAAATGTAACTTGCCATTCTTTGTAAAGTGGTTAGAGACATTGTTTCTGGAGCCAGACTGGTCTGGTTTGAATCCTATCTCCACCATGTAAAACTGTGTAATGTTAAGCAAGTTGCCTGGCTTCTCTAGGCCTCTTTCCTCAGCTCCCCAATGTGGACACTAATAGTACTTACCTTATGAGATTCTCATGAGGATTAAACTAGTCATTTCCTGTTAAAAGTTCAGAATGGTACCTGGCAGGAGGGAAGAACTCCGTACGCTCACCGCTTTTTCTCCTGCTTCTCCCCATGCTGTCGCTGGCCCTGCTAATACTGTTCTGTGAATGTTCTCTATATATTACTCATTCCTGCTTTTATAATCAGCCTACCATTATAACTCTTCAAGTAATTTACAGAGTATTTTATATTTTCAGAACACCTTTATATATATTGTTTCATCTCTTCCTCTTAACAACCAATATAAGTTAGGCTGAATCATTTTTAAGAAACTCCAGGAAGTGACTTATCCAGGAATAGAATTCATTAGAACTCAAAGCCAGACCCTAGTTTTCTGACCCTGAAGTCCATGCATTTTTTATTAATTTATATTTTTCTTAATTTTTATCAGGTGATATTTTATATGTAAAAAATATTACATGTTACAGAAAACATTATAACAAACGATAACAAAATGAAGATATGTAAGCCTAATGCCCAACTAAAGCAACTAAAGACTAAGTTACTGTTGGTTTTGTTACAACTATCTTTGTGTTCCTGTTTGGTTCCTCTCCTGCTTTCCCCTGACTCCTGAGAAAACCATCGTCCTGGGTTTTATACTTTTCTTTCCTTTCCCATTTTTTACTTTTCAAAAGATTTTGTTTACTTATTTTGAAAGAGAGAACGTGTGAGCACGCAAGCGGGAGAAGGGGAAGAGGGCAAGGGAGAGAGAATCTCAAGCAGACTCCACACTGAGCATGGAGCCCAACTTGGGGCTCGAGCTCATGACCTTGAGATCATGACCTGAGCCTAAATCAGGAGTCAGACCCTTAACCAGCTGGACCACCCAGGTGTACCTCCCTTCCTATTTTTTATCTTTATTGAGGTACAATTTCCATGCAATGTAATATACCCATTTTAAGTGTGTAATTTGAGTTTTGACAACTGTATACGCTCATATAACTACTACCCCAATCAAGATGTAGCACATCATCATGCCAAAATCTTCCTCCCAATTCTCTTTATAATCAGTCCCTCCCACGTCCAGGCCCAAGCAACCCAGGGCTTCCTGTTACTATTGATGCGTTTTCTCTGCTTTGGAATTTAACATAAATAGAATTTCTCAGTGTACTGTTTTTCAGAGTCACCCATATTGTTATATGTATGATTAGTTCATTTCTTTCCATTGCTGAGGGGTATTCCACTCTTTGTACCACAATTTGTTTATCCATTCACCTCTTGATAGACATTTGGGTTGTTTTCAGTTTGGGGATATCATGAATAAAACTTCTAATTTTTTAAAAATTTTTTAAAAGATTTTATTTGAGAGAGAGCGAGCATGAATGGGGGAGGGGATGAATAGAACTTCTGGGAAATCTTTCTGTGGATATATGTTCTCATTTCTCTTGGGTAAAGAATTGGGGGTGGAATCGCTGGTCATAGGGAAGGTACGTTTTTAATTTTATAAGAAACTGCCAGGCTGTTCTCCTGTATAGTTGTACCGTTTTATACCCACCAGTGGCGTGTGAGGATTCCCATTGCTCCACATCCTTGCTGGCATTTACTGTTGTCAGTCTTTTTTCAGTTTAGTCATTTTAGGGGCCATGAATATCATTGTGTTTTTAACTTGCTTTCCCCTGATGACTGGGTATGAACAGTTTTAGTTTTGAATTCACCTCTGCAGAAGCTGTACATTATCAACATTTCATACTTGAAGTATTTTTTTTTTCAGGGTGCTGTGAAAATTTCTTCTTTAGTACTGATACCACTCAGATGTTTGTATTTAATGTTAATTAATGAGATACTCAGAAATTATAAGATGTGTTAATTGATGAATGGTTTAGTCTTACCTCATGAATTGTGTGGGGGATTTTAACGTAAAGAGGACTCATGAGAGGGGCGCCTGGCTGGCTCAGTCGGACGAGCATGTGACTCTTGATCTCAGGATTGTGAGTTCAAGTCCCCAGTTGAGTGTAGAGATTACTAAAAAAAAAAAAAATAAACAAAACTTTTAAAAAAGAGAGAGAACTCATGGAGGAATGGGAGATGAAAGAGTAACTCAGAGACAGGGACATTTCTGTAGATTATGTGTTAGAACTTAGGTTAAGTCTAATGCTCCTTTTAGAACTCCCTCTTCAACTCGGTGTGTAGTAAGCATCTGTCATGCACTCAGCCATTATTCCATTTTTTTCATCAGAGTAGAGTTTTTGTTAGTAGGTGTGAAGTGAATGCAGTAGGGAGTAACAGACTCATTCACTAGATCTTTGGGTTCAGGAGCACTGATTAACAGAAATTCATGCTAATATTAACAGAAACATTAACAATATTAAGTTTTATACTAGAATGCATACTTGTCAAAAATTCAGAAAATATTTTTGATTAATCAGTGGATCAGATATTTGCCTTCACTTTTTCTTAGAACATTACTGAAATGTCAGAAAGGTATTCTTTTTTTTATGGGTTTTGTTTTTAAAGATTTTATTTGTGAGAGAGAGCGCACACGCGCACACTTCTCGGGGGAGGGCAGAGAGAGAGGGAGAAGCAGGCTTCCTGACTAGCAGGGAGCCCAATGCCAGACTCTATCCCAGGACCCTGAGATCATGACCTGAGTCAAAGGCAGTTGCTTAACCGACTGAGCCACCCAGGCGCCCTGAATAATTTTTTTTTTTTTATTTGAGAGAGAAGGAGAGAGAGCACTAGCATAAGCAGGGGGAGATGCAGAGGGAGAGGGAGAAGCAGACTCCCACTGAGCAGGGAGCCTGATATGGGACTCGATCCCAGGACCCTGACATCATGACCTGAGCCAAAGTCAGACCCTTAACTGACTAGCCACCCAGATGCCCCCGGAAATTCATCCCCAAAGGCAGAAACCCACAGCCACAGAATGGATGAGGAAGCAGCAGCAGATGCGACATCCAGAAAGTTCCAGAAGCTGAAAAGCAGGTGGATGGGTGGCAACTGGCTTATTACACCAGAGAAAGCAGAAAGCTGAGTGTCTGCAGGAACAATGTTGAGTCCTGCCTGGGAGGGTTTGGGAATGGGAAACACGGAGGTACCTCTAATGTCAAGCATTCAGGGTTGGACTGGCAACGGGAGGTTGGGCTGAAAGCCTATACAAGAAACACTTCCACGTTTATAATCCCTTTCTGCCAAGCGGGAGGCTGACACTTATTTCCTAGAGCGTCTGAGCTAGAGGAATTGTGGACGTGGATCAGGCACAACTCAAGGAAGGGGTATTAGGTAGAAAATGAGGATTGAATGAATATCTTACCACCTGTACGGCAAGAGCCTTAGCCTGCTTTCTGCAGCTAGCATCCAGAACTGTGGCGGCTGGTCTCTAGCTTCCTCTTTGGGAAACTGGCTACTCGTCCAGGAGATAAAACCTCCAGATACTTATATTAAAGGCCTCCCAGCAAATGGCCCAAGCCCTCTTCATCTGAGGACTGACCATTCCTGAAGAAGACTTGCCTTTAACCACAGAGCTGCTTGTTGCCTCATTTAAGAAAGCCTCAGATAGGAAAGACAGAAACCAGATCAGTCGGTCAAACCCAAAGAAGCTCAAAGGAAATAAAATGGAGAGAACAGATGAAAACTTTAAAAAAATGAACAGTGTCACCGGTTAGAGAGGATATTGTATATATGAAAACAAGAATAAGGGGCGCCTGGATGGCTCAGTTGGTTAGGTGGCTGCCTTTGGCTTGGGTCATGGTCCTGGGGTCCTGGGGTTGAGCCCCACATCGGGCTCCTTGCTCAGCGGGGAGCCTGCTTCTCCCTCTCCCACTCCCCCTCCTTGTGCTTGCTCTCTTCCTCTCAATCTCTGTGTGCCAAATAAATAAAATTAAAAAAAAAAAAGAATGAGCTGTTTGCTTGTTTTTATTTTTTAAGATTTTATTTATTTATTTGACAGTGAGAGAGAGAGAGAGAAAGTACAAGCAGGGGGAGAAGCAGGCAGAGGGAGAAGGAGACTCCCGCAGAGTGGAGAGCCCGACGCAGGGCTCGATCCCAGGACCCCGATATCATGACCTCAGCCGAAGGCAGATGCTTAACCGACTGAGCCACCCAGGCACCCCAGAGCTGTTTTAAAATAAAAACATTCAGAGAAAGAAAATATTCTTAGAAGATAAAAGGTGTGATGGCCACAATAAAAAATTAATTATGGGGCACCTGGGTGGCTCATCAGCTGAGCCTCTGACTCTTGATTTCAGCTCGGGTCGTGATCGCAGGGTCATGAGATTGAGTCCCAAAGTCGGGCTCCGTGCTGAGCATGAAACCTGCTTAAGATTCACTCTCTCTCCCTCTGCCCCTCCATCCCTTACTCGCATTCTCTTTCTCTCTCTCTAAAAAAATTAAAAAATTAATTAGAAGAGTCAAAGGATAAAATTGAGGTAGCATCCCAGAAAGTTAACCCAAAGGCAAAGAGAGGAACAGTGTGGCAGAAATGGTAGAGATGATCAGTCCATGAGGCCCAAATCTGAAGATGAGCATTCTGAAAGGAAGGAACAGAAAAGCAACAGGGGACAAATGATTAGGGAAATAATACAAGAAAATTCTCAGAAGTGAACGTCATGAGTGTCCAGATTGAAAGTCCCACCAAGTACCCAACACAAAGAACGAGAAACTTCCCGAAGCTTCAGGACATCAGATATAAGAAAAGAATCCAAATCTTCCAGGAAGCAAATGTAGGTGATGGGGATTGATATTCAGATTGGTATTCGGACTGGTTGAGAGACTCTACAGCCCTACCGGAAACGGGACACTGTACAGCAGTGCCTTTGAAGCTGTAAGAGGAAGTTATCCCCAGCATAGAAAATGACCCAACCAAAGTTTTAGTCAGGGCTGAAGGAAAAGACTTTCAGATCTGAACAATCTAAAGTTTACCTTCCGTGTACTTAAAAAAAAAAAAAAAAAATCCAAGAAAGAATAAACAAAGAGGCAGACCTGGGATTCAGAAACAATATTCCCAACACAGAATGAGAGGGAAATCCAGGGATCACAGGAAGGGAATTCCAGGACAAGTCCTGTGTAGCCGGCCCAGCGAGCAGCTCCACTTAGGAGCTCAAGAAGTGTTATGTTGTTCGTTTGTTTTTTTTAAGATCTAAAAAAAAATTTTTAAGTAATCTCTACACCCAACGTGGGGCTCAAACTCAAACCCTGAGATCGAGAGTTGCACACTCCCCTGACTGAGCCAGCCAGGCGCCCCAAGAAGGATATGTTTTAAAAGTGATAGATTATCTGTTGGTACATATGCTATAGTTGATATCTGTCAGAGTTTAGAGATACATAGGCAAGGATTTTTTTTTTTTTAAAGATTTATTTATTTATTTATTTGACAGAGACAGCGAGAGAGGGAACACAAGCAGGGGGAGCGGGAGAGGGAGAAGCAGGCTCCCTGTGCCAAGCAGGGAGCCCGATGCGGGGCTCGATCCCAGGACCCTAGGATCATGACCTGAGCCGAAGGCAGACACTTAACCAACTGGGGCCACCCAGGGGCCCCAGCAAGGATTTTTTTTTTTTTTTTTTTTTAAGGAATGAGGCAGTTTTATCAACAGCACACAAAATAAAGTGGAAACAAGAAAGGAAAATATATCCTAGTACACAGTGTGGGTCAGTTGTGAATAATATTTACAAAGCCATAGCAGGGTAAACGTGAATATTGATTTGCCCAAGAATCCTGTTGAATTGTAGTGGGAAGCTAGAGGAGGGGAAATAATATATCATTGGGGGGAAGGAATAGCAAGAACTGAGAGAACTAAACCTCTTCTTCCACAGTGGGTAGTCTTTAAAACTGAAAAATCCATAAAAATAACAGTATAGGGGCGCCTGGGTGGCTCAGTTGGTTAAGCGACTGCCTTCGGCTCAGGTCATGATCCTGGAGTCCTGGGATCGAATCCCGCATCGGGCTCCCTGCTCAGCAGGGAGTCTGCTTCTCCCTCTGACCCTCCCCCCTCTCATGTGCTCTCTCTCTCTCTCTCATTCTCGCTCTCTCAAATGAATAAATAAAATCTTATAAAAAAATAACAGTATAAATCTTATTTTCAATGGAGGGTAAATCTGAAAGGAATTATAGAAAACCAATAAAGTTCAGAAAAAATATCTTTCAACCTTTGAAAAATGGCTTTTTCAACGATAACGAAGACTAAAATACATATTCATACTCTTAACATGTTCTGAACAATCTCTGTTGATTTCTATAGGTAAAAGGTTATTGACTGCATAGAGTATTTCCTCTCTAAAGACACTATTAATCCAAGCAGATGCAGTTTGCACTGGAGAGGTTTCAGATTTTGTTGTGTCACACGTATTAATTCACCTATGTCCTTTCTCTTCCCTCCTATGCCAAGTGTTGTTTTGAACCTTAAAACAACTTGTTTTTCTTGTCTTCAGAGAGTGAAAGTTGTCTTGGCCCCGAGCCAAGGGGAGAAAGCCCCGGTCAAGAGAGAAGCCAGGAGAGCAGCCCGGGCTGTCTCCCGATGGACAGGCAGGCCGCGCCCCCGAGCCTGCTGGTAACTGCGGGGGAGCGCCACCCGGAGGAGCCGCTGTGCGGCGCGGCGGCCGCGCGGGAGTTGCACGCCCCGCCCTGGCCCTCGGCCGGGAGCCGCTCGGAGGACGCCTGTGAGGATGACAGCCGCCCGCATTGGCCTCAGACGGAGGCCTGCCGCGATGTGGCCGCCGCAGCCCCCGCCGCAGCCCCCGCGGCGTTGCTCCCCAGCGAGTCCATGCTAGAGCCCTTGATCTCACCCGGCTCTGACCTCTTAGCTCCGGCGCCCGCCTCCGAGGGACAGTATTCCCGGACTCAAAGAGAGGGACTCCGTTTGCCACTGAAGGATGCTTCTGAGGCGTTGCCCACGGACCGCCTTGAGAACAGTGACTCCAGTGAGCTGCAGCAACCTGATCTCACAGACAGCGATGGAAAATCACCACGCGGGCCGCCGGACCCACAGCGCTCTGACAGGGCACTTTGTGAGAGTGATCAAGTGTCTGACTTAAGTGCGCTGCGGCCAGAGGTGTGTATGGCCCCCGAGGAGAGGGGGGGTGAGGACGAGCACGTCAGTAAAGAGACGGAAGACTATTTGAACAGCCTGTTAGAAGGATGCTTAAAAGATACTGAAGACTCCCTGTCACGTGAAGACAACCAGGAGGAAGACTCGGACCTTCTTCCAGATCTTTCTCCTGAAGAAGCCTCCTACAGTCTGCAGGAGGATCTGCCTTCCGACGAGAGCTGTCTTTCTCTTGATGATCTGGCAAAAAGGATAGAGATTGCAGAAGTAAGTGTGGGATTTAACAGAAGTGCAATTAACAGTAAAATGAAATTTTAAAAGCACATCTCTACTAAATAGTGCCTTGTTTCTGTAAATTTTCCCCGGTTTCCAGCATGAGGGGAAAATCTTTTAAACTTCTAATAATTAGTAGTTTTATTTTTCATATTGAATAGGAAATGAATAAGATTGAATAAGATGACTTTTGGTCATGATGTTTATACTTCAGGAACTTTTATTGCATGCCTCTGGGGACAGTAAGTGTTATGAACACTGTTTTTAATACTGCTGTGACTTTTATTTGACAGTTGTGGCAATTATGATCAAGACAAGATTAGTTACATTCTTATAAGGAAATCTCATTTTTTCCCTCATAATACTCTTATGATTATTAATATATTTTTTGATTCTTTAAAATAGTACAACGGAACAAAGGAAACATTTTAAAATACAGTAGGACAAGGAGATACTGGGTGGATTTTTAAGTCATTAAGTTGTACGTTGTGAATCTTCTCTTTCTTGTAGTATTAATTTATAAGCTGTAGGTTTGAACAGACTTCATACTTACTGCTTGACTAAGTCAAATGTTATACATAATCCAAAGTTTCTCCAAACAGTAATGAAGATGGTCAAAACAAAAAATGACAGAGAGGATCAAGATGACCATTCTCCTTTGTTTGATGATAAAATTTTTTAAAGTTAAGGGAAAAAAAGGGGCACCTGGGTGGCTCTGTTGTTTATGTTGTCTGCCTTCAGCTCAGATCCTGATCCCGGGGTCCTGGGATCGGGTCCTGAGTAGGGAGCCTGCTTCTCCCTCTCCCTCCGCTGCTCCCCCTGCTTGTACTCTCTTTCTCTCAAATAAATAAATAAAAATCTTTAAAAAAAACAGCTAAGGGGGAAAAAAAGCCGTATGCAAACTGTAGCCCCCTGGGAAGGTGGCCTCATATAGTGGAAAGAGGTCTAAGTCTGAGGTCACATACAGACCCACCAGCTAGCAGCCCTACAGAGTTCCTGCTGACCTCTCCACGTCGCTGTATCCTCCCCTGAAAATTAGGATACCAGCTACTCTTCCTGTTTTTCATCTTATAGTTTTTTCCAAGTCAGCTTTTAAGTCCCATTTATAACCATTGTTTTCTAATTCTGCATCATCATTGGGCAGGTCGGGGAGGAACACACTTCGAGTAGAAACTGGAAAAGCAACAGAGCCAAAGTAGGCACCAGAGTGCCCGGAAAGGCGGAGCCCTGTGGGAGCTTGCTCACTTCATCGGCGTGAGGTCACTGGCTCCCTGCATTGCCTCCTCTAGTCAGCTCCCCAGCAACTAGTCTTGACAAAGTTGGATAGAAGAGGAAGGCACTTGATCCAGTATTCATTCATTTGTTTATTTTAACCAGATTTTTATTACCACTTACAAGTCAGCCCTCTATAAACTATGGTTTTTTTCTTCCTAATTTCCTCTTGAAATTGTTTCATATGCTTAATGAGTGCAGAGTTTCTGTTTGGGTGGATGGAAATTTTAGAAGTCGCTACTGGTAGTGGCAGCACAACACTATGAATGTAGCTAATGCCACTCAGTTGTTAAAATTGCAGTTTTATGTTAGACGTATCTTACCATAATTTTTTCTTAAAGTTAAAAAAAATTAAATAGAGGGCACCTGGCTGGCTAAGTCGGTGGGGCAGGTAACTCTTGCTCTTGGGGTCGTGAGTTCAAGCCCCACCTTAGGTGTAGAGATTACTTAAAAATAAAAAAAAGTATTTGAAAGAAAAGTGTTTTCATTTAAAAAAAATTAAATAGAGCCAGTAGTAAAGCACTAGACCCAGCATTCCTTCCCTTGTTTATTTTCACCAGGCCTCTGATACAGGGAACCATCGAAACAGAAGTCACACCTGGATTCAAATCTAGCTGTTATACCACAAGGTCAGCCTTCTCTGACCACTGCTTTTCACACCAATAATCAAGTTGACCATCTGGGGAAAAGACAGAAGGTCTAATTTTACCTTTTTAGGTATAAACGGTGAAAAAGGGTCAGAGCTCCCCTGTTGCATCTCCCTACTTTGCAGAACACTTACGGTGGGGGTTTGCTGTTGAACTCACATTGTATTACAACCAAGCGGAGTGTTCCTTCCTCAGGCTCATAACGTCAGTTTTCCCTACTGGATAATACCTAGCAGGCGGTGGAAACTATTCACATTTTTAAAGTTGTCTTTCCTGTGAAGTTATTTTTTATGTGTGATGGTTCCCTTTCCTAAAATTCTATTGATCTGTTAAGTTGTGCTGTTTTAAGAACCTCAAAAGCTACATATAATTAACAAAACTAATTTGCATTCCTGTGATAATGCTGAACAGACTGTTTCCGAATATTTCCTTCTCCATTCTGAGGAGGATACGTCAATAAATTCTGCCTTACCCTGTTAGGAAAAGAGTTTTTAAAATTTCAAAACTTGAAAAATAAAATAAAATAAAATAATTAAAAAATAAAATTTCAAAACTTGGGGCACGTGGGTGGCTCAGTCGTTAAGCGTCTGCCTTCGGCTCAGGTCATGATCCCGGGGTCCTGGGATTGAGCCCACATCGGGCTCCCTGCTCAGTGGGAAGCCTGCTTCTCTCTCTCCCTCTCCCTGCTGCTCTGCCTACTTGTGCTCTCTCTCTCTGTCAAATAAATAAAAAAATTTTAAAACAAACAAAAAAATAAAATTCCAAAACTAAAAAATCACTAATGCTTACAATTTCCTTAATACCTTCAGAGTGAAGTTTTGGGCTAAGTAAAATGTCCAGGTGATAGTGGGTTTGCTTATAAGTGCAAACTTCTTCTTCTTCTTCTTTTTAATTAATTAATTTATTTATTTGAGAGAGAGCACGAGCAGTGGGGAGGGCAGGAGAGGGAGAAGCAGACTCAGCTGAGCAGGGAGCCCAACATGGGCCTCGATTCCAGGACCCGAGCCACCCAGGCACCCCCCCCCCAAACTTCTTTTTAATCCAAACACGGTTGCATGCTTTCAGCAGAATTCTCCTAAGGCTGTCTCACATCAAGTGCTGAGGATACAATGAGGAATCAGATGAACTTCTGATTTCATCTCTTGGGGGCTCACTTGGGTAATTTTACTGGAATTGTTTTTAAAATATTTTTCATGCTTCTGTACTTGGGTGAGTTGGGGATCCAGAGCATAATGTCCACATGGCTGTGCCATCCTAGGAGCCCTCTGGTCTCTCTTCCCACCCTGCCCTTTCTCCTGTGAGTGTCTCTGCCCCTCAGCGATTTCCTCACTGCTCCCCACTCTTCCGACCTCTGTGATTATGGTGGAATGTTCTTTCACTGCCATGTTTTCCCTTTTTGCTGGTCTTCCTGCTCTCATTCTCTTCCTACTCCTGCATTGCTCAGCTCTGTCTGCAGTGCTCCTGGGCCTTGGCAGCCACCACCAGCCCAGCAGGAGTGTTTGCTGTGTCCTTTAAACAACCAGGTTCATCCCATCAGATGAAACAATTCATGCAAAATCTCTTAGAGAACTAAAACGATCTACACTCGTTTAATTCAGTGATGCAGAGACATGTGTAAATGAAACTTTTCTGGGTTTGAGGAGAATTTTTAAATCCAGAATAATTTTGCTAAGTAGAATGATAGCTTAGTGTCTGGGGCACTAATGTTCTTTCTCATGTAAAAAAGACCGTGACACACTCTCACCAGAAGTGTAACCTGCTCTTTTAAAAAGCATCAAAAACATTGATGCTCATTTCATAGATTTTTTTTAAGATTTTATTTATTTATTTGGCAGAGAGAGAGACACAGCGAGAGCAGGAACACAAGCAGGGGGAGTGGGAGAGGGAGAAGCAGGCTTCCCGCTGAGCAGGGAGCCCAATGTGGGGCTCGATCCCAGGACCCTGGGATCATGTCCTGGGCCAAAGGCAGACGCTTAACGACTGAGCCACCCAGGTGCCCCTATTTCATAGATTTTTAACATAAGAAGTTTATTACATGTGCAGCGTCAGCAAGGTAGAGAGATTCACTCTTCTGTTCCCTCAGTAATTTTTACGTAACTGCTGTGTGTACCATGACATCGCAGATGCAGTGACTGAAAATTCAGATAGGGACACTCCGTGTGTAAAGCCTGCATTCCCAGCAGGTGTCCAGGTGTTATCTGGTGGCTGAATTTAACTACCTAGTTTTTGGGAAAAGATGAAATCTTATTGTAATACCTATAATATTCTGACATGATTATTTTAATGTCAGAACCCAAACTCCCTTTCCCCAAGGAGCCTGGTAATGCCAGTAAATCATTGACTTGCTTGGTTCTGGAACCTGGGAGGGTTGTGTTATCTTCTCTTTAAAACCCTTCAGCTGAAATAAAAAAAAATAAAAATAAAAAATAAAACCCTTCAGCTGTTCTTTGGCACCTGGGTGGCTCAGTTGGTTGCGTGTCCGACTCTTGACTTGGGCTCAGGTCATGATCTCAGGGTCGTGGGATCGAGCCCCGTGTCAGGCTCCACGCACAGTGCAGAGTCTGCTTCTCCCTCTCCCTCTGCTCCCCCCACTTCTGCGCACACACACTCTCTCTCTCTCAAATAAATTCTTAAAAACAAAACAAAACTCTTCAGCTGTTCCTAGCATCAAACCTAAGACAAGAAATATATTCAAATTCAAGGTGGTATCATGATTCAACACCATATTGCTAATAAAAATCCACTCAGCTTTTGGTAGATTGTTCCATGAGGGAGTGGGGATGAGAGAGTTGTTTTATTTTCTGAATGAGTGACATTGAATATTGGGTAAATTTTATGAAAATTAATCTGTCTTGGGGCACCTGGGTGGCGCAGTTCGTTGAGCATCTGCCTTCGGCTCAGGTCATGATCCCAGGGTCCTGGGATCGAGTCCCACATCTTCTCCCTCTCCCTCTGCCTGCCATTCCCTCTGCTTGTGCCCTCTCTCTCTCTCTCTCAAATGGATAAATAAAACCTTTAAAAAAAATCAATGTCTTTTCACATTGAAAATAATCATAGTGTATAATTCAAGAGATC